AGTTTGCGCTTCTCACCCCATATCCTTGTTTGCACCTGCCTGCCTAGGGAGACTTTGCTCTTCCTGGTCATTGAAGGTTCAAGGGAAATCAGCAGAATCAAAGGTCATTGTCTCCTGGCAGACCTAATGTTTCCCTTTGTGACCGTCACATGCTGAGGCCACAGTCTCTTTGTTTTTGCCTCTGCTCTCTGGTCGGGGATCAGTGTTTGGGCCACTAGCCGTTTCTAGAATCACACAGAGGAAATGGATGTGTTATTTAATCCCATTATTATACTTTAAAGGAAGCATACTTGCATGACTTTGATTTCGCTGTGATAAAAGGGGTTTTTGGTATCTGAGTGCTGGTAGAATATTCTATAAATATACACAACTGAAGTACAACCAATTTTTCTTTCTTCAAATAACATGATATTCCTACAAATTTTGGGGGTAGTGCATTGAGCATCTCATCATTTAATGTTCTAAACTAATAATAAAACCCACTTGGTACACTATAATTTCGAAAGTATATTATCGCCCAGTGATATCAGTTGGAGATATAGTATATTCTACATACCTTTATACATACAGTATACTCACATAAAGCAGTATTACAGCAAATCTCAGTTGCGTGATTGTTTGCATTGTTGTAAAATATAAGCTGTATTATCACATAGCTCTCACTCTCTCTCTCTCTCTCTCTCTCTCTCTCTATATATATAGATGTCACACTTTAACAGCATACATACAATATACTCACATAGGGTGATATAGCAAATCTAAACAGTTTGATTGCTTGTATCATTGCAAAATATAAACTATATTATTGCCCAGCTCTTTATGTAAACTTGGATATATATATACATACAGCATATACTTGCATAGGGTGATATATAAACTATAAACTATATTATGTTGCCCAGCTCTAATCTGCTAAATGCAACTATAAGGCTTGCAAATATTAAGCTATTAGAAGCATTAACATCATGATTTTCTGTAAAGATGCTTTGAAACAATGTACATTGTGAAAAGCGCTGTACAAATATAATAAAGACTTTATTTGGATAGTAACTGAACATTTTACTTTAAATCTTTAACTTTAACCATAGTCAGCGAGCTCTGAAAATGTGTAAACATCACACGTGAGCAAAAGGTTTTTTCACAGCTTGTTACACAGCAGTGAAACATGTGACTGTCTTGGGAGGGAGAGGGAATCTACTGTAGTAAGGAGGGGCAGCTGGGATGTTAACATCTCTTTGTATGCAAGAGAAAAACTGTGAAAAACTTGATGGCTGATACTATGTCCCATCAGGATATAGCCCATCTGTAACCCCAGCGGGGCATGTTTACTCCAGCCAGAACTGTTGACTGGTCATATGGGGCCCCAAGAAGTGTGAACTTGGTGTAAAAGCTGTATCTTCTCAAGGCACAGAAAGGCTGAACTAGGCAGGCTGTGACATAAAACACTGTTTTTTTTTTTAAGTTTAATGTTTTTCACATTCATTTTTACTATGACAAACAGATTTTTAAGACTATATTTCTTTGTTTAAGACTAATGTTTTTGTCATATCTATGAATGAAAAAGAATCAAAATAACATGTAAAATTTTCTAACATATTTGCGATAGATAGATAGATAGATAGATATTTCTTTATGCGAATGGCAAAAAACACTTATGGATTAAAGGATTGCAGGCATGAATTTACATCTGAGAGTTTCATCTGAGAGTCATGTGTGAATTTCATGTGTCCTTCCCTGTGCTGCTTTCATGTGATCATACAAGCCATGATCTGATTTAAAGCACAGGGTTAGGAAAAGGACAGATAGTTAAGCTGTGGCTTTAAGGGTGGCGTCCATTAGCATTGGGAAGTCCGATTCATCTTAGCGATTCGATTCGTTTCGCTCGGGTGATTCTTTGTAGTGAGCCGATTAAAACGATTCAATAATTCATTTGAATCATCACTCAAAAGTCTTCCCATGAAGTCATTTTACACACTTTTTGTTTTGTTGTTATTGTTATAAAATATAGTTGGCTGTTTATAGCTAAATTTATGATTAATTATATTTAATGTGTCAAATGTTTATTGTGTTAACGTAATCCACCCCACAGATTTTCTATAGTGAGCACATGGAAAAACATTTCTTTTTCTTGTCTTCTATTTTTTTTTAACAGACCACTATAATTAAAATGAAGTTAATTTAGTGTCAGCGACTATGTCATCCAAAATGCAAGCAAACACACAGAATTTTTTTTAACCTTTTTAGCTTGAAACTAGCTATCCTGAAACCTTATGAATGTTAATTTACTATTTAGTCATTAAGAAATGCTAAGTAATTATGGTGTTTTGTTGCAAATTTGGTTAACATAATAGACCTTTTTTTCATATAAAGGTACACTTAGGAGATTTACAAACGAATCGGTTCTGCCGAATCATCACAAGAATGATTCTCTCGTGAATCGGATCTCACTAGCGTCCATGAGGGTAGGAGGAGTGAACATGGCATTGCAGAGTGCCGGGGATACCTTGAATAAACAATTCAGTCAAGCGACTGACTGCAGGACTCAAGAAAAACTCTAGAAAACCGCACATGTGCACAAATGAAAATCTTTCAACATTTATTGACCTTCGTGTCATTCCAAACCTGTAAGACTTTCCTTTTTCTGTGGAACACAAAAGATTTTATTTCATACAATGAAAGTCAATGACATTTCATGTTGTTCTTGAATGAAGTTACTTTCATTGCATTGACAAAAGCTGTTCTTTAAAATATTTTAGTATAAGTCCTACAGGTTTGGAACGACTTGATTCGCTAATGTTCCTGACTGTTCATTCAAGTACTAATGGCGTAAGCAAAAGTGGAGGGCAAAAGGAAAGAAGCATCTTAAATCATGTCTCCGTGTGCCAGCTCATCTATCAGCAGTACACCACAGAAATGATTTTTCCATCTGTAGAATAGAAATGTCAGCCCGAGGCGAGCAATGTGTATCAGTGATGTTTTTATAGAGTAGGCCAATATTAGGTTTGCGATTTATGGCACGTGTGCAACTATCCTTAACTTCACATGCATTAAGACTCAGAAATCAGGAGCCAAACTTAACAGGTTGGGTTTGAATGCATTTCCTTAAGATTTATGGATTGTTTGAGATTTTTATGTACTATCTAAGTCCGTAATCTACTTTTTTACAGATTCCTATTCAGTTTTATAGACATGTGCCCACTGAAGGCTCCACATACTTCTGTAGAATTTGAATGACGGTCATTCATAAAGTTCTACACATGCTTCACCCCTTACATATTCATTTTGTGATATTTTCTAGGTCACATTTTTCAAACATTTGATTATGGATAGTTGATGTATTACATGTCTATGGAGGTTTCAGCATTAAGATTTGAGGTTAAAGTATGTAGAATAGGGATGCAGCGATTAACCGGTTTCGCGATTAACCGCGCTTTAAAACGTCACGGTTAATTAATCGTAAAGGTTCCGCTAAACCGAGTGTTTGTGTTACACGGAACGGAACTGTTGCAGCTTGCGCAAAACGAAAACAAAGTTACACTAGCGGTGCACCAGCTTAAAATGACGTGCTTATCAGAGGCACGGAGGCTACTACATGCATTAGATTCACTGTGACAGAGGGACCAGCGAAGCTTTATTTCCACCTGAGAAATGTCTGTCGATAGTGTGGGACCATTTTAGGTACACCAAGAATGACCAGGGTGTCATTTAAATATTGCTGTAAAAAACTGCTGCTAAAGAGCGAATACATAAGGGATAATGCACGGCTAGCTGTACATTGAACGATTTTAATGCACGACGTGAAGGCAAGAACCACCTGACGCGATTAATAAATGCATAATAATCGTCATAATCGTAAAACCGTGATTATTCCTCAGATAATAATCGTACCAACAAAATCTATAATCGTTGCATCCCTAATGTAGAAGCGCTGTGACTAGTGAGCATTTCTAGTGCACTACAGAACATTGGCCCCGCTATAATAATAACAAAATTTTGAGTTTATGTATTTATGTGTGACCCGACCACTTAAAATTGAGCTATTTTCTCCCTCACTAGTTGTAAAATAATTGGCAAAATGCTGTTTAAAGTGTTTTAAATGCATAAATACTAAATGCATATGCTGACATACATTTTTGAATGCAATGCCCTCTTCTTAATATCCAGTCAACAACTAATTCATAAAACCAAGTCAACTGCCCTACGTTCTAAAAAAAATAAAAAAATAAATAATAATAATTTCTTGTGTGTACATCACAATACATAAGAAACGATCGCCCACTTCTGCTTCCTCGCAACTTTTAGAGTTTTGAGGTACCGTAGGCCATCAATGTCCCAGAAGTATTTCACGTCAGCTAACCATATGCTTTCATATACCAATAAAAGCTCCATTAAACACATTTTTACCATATTAAAATCCATAGCACAGAATTTTGCACATTTCCTACAAAATCAGTGTAGAAAATGTAAAAAGCTCCTGCAGATTCCATCTGGGCCTACTTATAACTAAATGTCACAGCGACTTTTAAAACTTTCACTCTTTTATTTGGTTTAGATGTTGGCTGATTCTGCAAATATTTTCCAGAAATATTCACCAAAACCACTACATTTTGGTTCTGCAGTTAGTTTTGAATTAGAACAGCGGGTTGAGCCGATCATTTCCAACATGTATTGCCCTGGCTCCTGTGTCTAGGTCTCTAGACAGCTTTAATGGCCATGGGGATAAAGGTTTTCGCAGGTCACCGTGTGGCAGGATCAGCATAATTGAAGGCTTGAGAGGACGCAGTAGGGGCGATAGTTAAATTGGACTTAAGACTGTTATTCAATGGTGTCTTAATTTAACCACCCTGGGTTATATGAAGCAAAGCCCACTGAGAAAAGTGGCTCACTCGAATGCCAATCATTCCTCACCGATCCTGAGACTTTTGAAGGTTACAGGGCTGTCTGTGGCTGGGGTGACGGATTGATGTATGTCCCCTGTCGAGCAGAGAATTCAGAGTCCAAGGCCGCTGCAGTGCTGTCCTATTAGGGGGGATTGTCCTTCACAACTTCTTAGCCGCCTGTCCTTTCTGGAGCCTACAGAGCTCAGGCAAGGGCATTGTGTCTGCTACAATAAGCCGAGCTGTGGAGTGCTTCACCCTCACATAATTATATGGCTTTAATGCAAGCATCTTTCACTGTTCATCCACTCACACCAGCAAGCGCAAAAAGAGCGGCGTTGTCAGAGAGAGTCGCTGGATGTATCCCTACTTCATTATGACTTGCTCTTCAGAGGGCTTTTTTAGAAATTAAATTGCTTTGGCAATTAACTAAAAGGGGATTTTTAGAATTTATGAATGACTGAGAAGATTGATATATGGCGAGAGAGGACAGCAGCATGTGAGATGGACGTGAGGCTGAGGTGATGGATTTATCGCCACGTTGAGAGCCACATGAAAGGTGCGAGAATCACTGTACCCACTTTTTAGGACCATGACGGTCTCATGATCATTCTCTTTGTGTTTGAGACTGGTTTCTGCCAGGTACTGTGAAAGTAAAGTCTTTCCAAGGAGCTCTGTGGCGACATTACGACACGGGTGATTTCACCGGCTGCATTTTTGTGTACCCAGTTCGATAAGATATGAGGTCATGCTTGCTAGATGTCGTTAGGAAAATCTAATCCAACGGTTGCCTGCCGAGACAAAGACGGCTCTGTGGCGAGCAGATCAAGAAAATAATGCACAGCTTGAACTTAGACCTTCAAGGTGTTTGTTAAGAGTTAATTAAACCGAATTCATTGCCTGGTAATCTATAACATATGGTGAGAAAAGATTGTGTCACCACTTTGAATACAAAATTACCGTCTGCTCGTACAGCGTATTGGCCTTTTCAGAGTTTAGATTATGGAAGGATGGTTTGATGATATATTATGAGCCACAGTGGAAATGTGTCAGCTGGTAGATATTCTGCTGTACTGTTTATACCACGACTATATCCAGCCTGATTTTAAACAGATATATGTGCGTATGTATTTTATTTATCATTTTTAAGACTTCAAATGTGGCTTAAGTCATATTTATAATGTAATATTCTTTTTTTTTTTCTCAAGTGTTAAATTTTGTAATTATTCCATATTATTTATTTATTATCCAAATGTATAAATTATATTTTTTAATGGTTCATAAAATATTATGTACTTAAGATTATTTTAAGACTTCAAAGGTGGCTTATATATATGACAAAAAACTATCTATCTATCTATCTATCTATTTTTTTTTCTAATAGTTTCTCCGTTCTTGACAGTCGCTCTCAGTTTTCTCAAATAGGTCTCTCTACAGCTAGTAAATGAACTTCTTATTGCCAGAGGCACTGAGAATGAGAGGGAACACCATGTTCAGCCAAAATAATATGTTCTTTAAAGACATTTAATATTTTCTTGTATGCTTTGCTCATTTCAGAGTTAAATACCATGGCTGTTATTTCCGAAGGCGGCTGAAATTGAAAAATAGATCGTGCTGTTATCAAGAAAGATATTACAGACAAGTTCTGTGGCAGTATGGGCATCACAGAGAAGTGTTCAAGGTTTTTGAAAATGTTCGAACAGTCAGACAGTTCATGGTCAAGGGCTGTTTAGCGTGAGTGTCTGGAAAGTCCTCTGGCCATGATTTGGCAGAGAGAGAGCGGTGATGGGCAGCGGATCCACCGCGCTAAAGCATAAACTGGGCTAATCTGTTACTGAGCAACAGCAGGCACCCCTTCACAACACGTTGTGGGTGTGTAGTTCATGCCGTTACCCGGGGGATGCGGTTTTGTTGAGTTCAGCTCATGGCAATTTTTTTTGCCGTAGTCTAGTTGCCCTCCGTGTTTGGACTGTGGAAGGAATCTACGGTGATGGAGAGACAGAAACACGAGGGACAACTGGGTAAACATTACAGTCCTGTGCTTTCAATGTGCCACTTTGATATGTTAATTCTTGGTGCTTTTGCATCGCTAGAGAGGTGTAGTCTTTTTTGTTGTGGTCATTTGTGCTTTGTTTAAAGGTTTTATTGGTGCTTTGAACAAAAAGTGTCACCTCATTCATCACAAAGGGGCAGCTGTTTTTCCATTTGATAGTCATCAGTAAATCAGAACATTACCTTCCCCCAAGTAGTGCATACTAAAGACAGCAGCTCTGCGAGACCTTGGAAGTGGCGGACATGTCTTGGTCACACCGTTGAGGATGACACTATCGTCACACTCGCTCACGGCGTTAGACCTGACCCAGAGGGTCAGATTTTTTCCCACCAGGCTGAGATAATTATCATCTAGACTGCTTTGGAACAGCACTTTACTGTTCGTTGGTGTATTTTTAGTGGGCATCTCCAATAATGGGGGCCGAAACCTGATCCAGCCTGCTCTGTTGAGTGGATTAAGGCCGTTTGGCGGTAGTGTGTCATCCGCAGTTCAAGGTTGACATCCACTTTAGGAGTCACACCAAGGTCAAGCACAGTTTAATAAGATGTTTTGTCAGGTCGGGACACATGATCTTCCCTCGACCAGTGATTTGGGTTAATTATGAACAATGATCTCGCCGTAGCTGAGGTGAAAACAAGGCTCCAGGAAGAAAGCTGTGTGTGTCAGATCACCTGAACTTCGTGATTTGTTATTTGTGGAAGGTAACAGTCTCAAGTAAAGTGTTAGGCCAGGCGATTTAAGATGAACTGAGGTGAAAGTGATCATTATTATCATTTGGGGTGGGTGAGTGACAGTAAAGGTGCTGTGATTTTGACCTTTCTATTCATGGAATAATATTGAAAAACTAAAATGTATCACAGTTTCCACTAAAATATCAAGTAGCACAACTGTTTTCAACATTGAGAATAATAAGAAATGTTTCTTGAGCAGCAAATCAACATATTAGAATGATTTCTGAAGGATCGTGAGACACTGAAGACTGGAGTAATGATGCTGAAAATTCAGCTTTGCCAATAAATTATATTTTAAAATATATTACAATAGAAAGTACATATTTTAAATTGTAGTAATATTTCACAGTATTACTGTCTTTGCTGTATTTTTGTCAAATAAATGCAACCTTGGTAAACATAAGAGACTTTTCAAAAACATTAAAAAAAAGCTTACCAGCCCCACAGTTTTGAACAGTAGTGTATATTTATTTAGAATTTATAATATCTGCAATATATTAATAAAATATTATCATTTTGTTATTGCTATTATATATGTAAAAAAATAGCATTATTCATACTGTTTTTTTTTTAAGATTATTAGATATTACAGATTATATATTATAAAACCATATAGTAATGTCATATTTTAAAATCTAGTGACCTTCTCATTATTTTGTGTGTGAAATAAAAATTATATTTTATTCATGTATATGATTGGGTTTCCACACATTCAGAGTTGAGGTGACCAAACGTAATAATAATTTATGAATCAGCTGTCAAAAAGCCCATATTGGTAGTTAAAGAAGTTGAATATTCGGAAGGACATGTCCTCTGTACATGATGAAAGCCTGGCTATTTTAATTCCCCTGCTCCAAGACAGATTAACATGACCTTCAGTGTTTTATGATGTTTCCCACCACCGAAGTTTTGTTCTAAAATGTCATTACAGAAAGAGGATTTTCTAAAACCTCCTATCGAAAACTTCAGATGCTTTAAAAAAAAAAAAAAAGATAGGTTTGGTCCTTTCTTCAACCATGCTAGATGGGCAGACTGATGTGATTGTTCTTAGCACAAACCTCATGGCATCTTTTTTGCTGTGCTGTGTTCATTTGTGGCGTCAGCAGAAAGGAACTAGAACACAGAATCAGAACTGCTACGCTAGGGTAGAATTATTTGGGCCAAAGTGCACAAAATGGAGGCCACTTGTTGGATTGTCAAATTTTGCTGATAGCAGAACCTTATTGTTTTAATCTGCACGTAGGAGTTTTTTGTAGGTGTGTAAACATCTACATTTTGACACACTATTGACTAAGTTCTGGTCTCACTAGCACAGTATGTTACATAAGATAGGATAAATTGTATTAAGAGTACATTTACATGCAAATCGATCTGTTTTCAGAGCAAATCTAAGGGGATTTGCGATAATCTAAAATGACAGTTACGACCTTAATACGCTTTTGATACACGTCGACGTGACCCTGTGCAAACCAGACCTCTACTCCGGTCAACTGCAGTGACACAATTTCAAACATGCTTCAGTTAACCTCCATTTTATGCACAGCAGGCTGACAATTTTCAGCTTTTATGTGCCATTTTGTTGCTTATGCAGTTGTGGTTCGCCTGACATTCGCAGCTAGATGCCTCTGATTTAGCTGGCATGTTTTTTTGAAGCAGTATGCACTTTTTTTGTGGTTTGACCTCGCTGATTAGAAGGAGATTAGAGCTGACCTTAAAACATTTGAATGGCGTAAATAAGGGCAACGATATAATTGGCGCTCGGGTCTGCTCATCCACCATCCGCCCGCTCGGTTTGTGTGGGTGGCGAGGCTAGCAAGGAGAGCTGAAGGTGATAAAACATCCAAGTTGCCTGTAAATGAGATGAAGACTGGAGCAGCACCGGGTTCAGCCATTAAAGATGTTTTATAGCAGCCCTGCGTACTCTTCCCCCCCTGAGGTGCACACACGTAAACCTATCTATCAAAGGGAATTGACCTGCCTTTGAGTGATCACTTCACAAGACCTGCTGTTGTCATGAAAACATTGGCATGTCCTCCATGTGCACGCCCTCACCCCTAGTTCACGCTAAAAAAGGGTGTACCTCCTTAAAATATGATTGCGATTGCTCAAATTTCGAAACTTTGGGTTGAAAGTTACCTCATCGAAAAATGATACTATTATATAAAATAAAACCCAAAATACGTTCATTTCGCAAACATTTTGTCATGGGCTAGCATCCAACAGGCTATTAGCACGCAGAGCTGCCGTATTTCACGTTTGAGTGACATTTATTTCTCTTTAATGCAATCTTCCACAGTGTTCCCAACCGGTTCGCCTGTATTCGGCGAATGCCCTTGTATGCCCTCGGAAACAGCGGATAGTGAAGCTGCCCTCTGAGCTCGTGGAACAAAGCAGAAAATAAAGTTGCTGCCTGCAAAGTGCTGCGGTGGGTGGCTTTAACATTCCCATCCACTTTCAGCTCCCGCTAACCTTGCTGAGCTCTGACATCATCCTGGAACAATGTCAGATCCATGTAGATGAATATAATTAAACAAGCGCTTATCATCCAGCCGGGGAAAGTTTAGTGGCAGGTCAACCATGTTTGCCTCTCTCTCGGCTGAAGGTCGGACGAGGGTTAGACAGGCAGTTTGCAGGCTGGAAGGTATGTGAAAGACACAAAACACAGACTAGGCCAACACAAGAACGTTTTCCAGAGCACAAAAAGTCTATTTTTACACTAGCTTGTTATTTACATTGAGCTCTGTCGGGCCAGACTATATTGGAAAGTTGAGTACC